AATAAATAATAACAGTTAGAATAAATAATAACAGTTAGAATAAATAATAACAGTTAGAATAAATAACAACAATTATAATAAATAACAGTTATAATAAATAACAACAGTGAAGATGAACATATGCTCTGATATATTCATAAATTAAACGGATTCTTTCATTTTTCTGGACTGAATAATGTCGTGCATTGAATTATTAAAAACGTAACGTGAGACGTTAATTTCCTTTGACCCATCAAAATGAACGTGGTCATTTATTTACAGAATCAAGTTTAACATCACACATTTACATTAATTTGGCAAAATGAAAATAACAACATGGCTAATTTAGCAAGTTTTACAAGGAGGAAACAATACGGCGATGGTTTCCCTTGCTTCCAGCTGTACAACAGACAGTTCTAAAAATATCAGGAATGATTTCTAGCAGATAGAAGAGTTTTAAAGATGGAAATGAAGTTTAAGTTGAGAGAAAGGATGGATGAGGGAAATGTGTGTGTGTCGGCATCAGAACGGCACTCTCCGGTGAACTCCCAGCTTCTTCCTCGGTACACTTAGGTGGTATAAATCAACTCTTTACCTGGAGATGTCTCCCTGGTACGAAGTTCCATTTAACGCACCCTTTCAGCGTCTCCGTAGGAACAGCTGTGAATCGTCCGAAGTAGTGACGGTACTTGTTCGACACAAGTTCACCTCACGAGTGGACTTCACATGAGTGGAGTCCGTCAGAAGTTCCACTCAGAGGTGGAAGATGTCATAATTCCACAAGACTCGGAAGAACTCGGGATCATGCCTGGACTTCTGTTCTCCCAGCACTGGAGCCTGAAGCGACTGAAGCTCTGCAAACTCTCCACCCGACTCGATTCGACTGGTTTGAACTAGGAAGTACCGACATTTAAAGAGATCTATTTATCTATCTATTTCCGGTTCACTTGGGAGTTTCCTGATTGGTCGTTTCGACCAGACAGGGGTGTGTTTTTGTGATGTAAGAGGTCACTAGGAGTCAGAAAAACAGCAAGAATGTTATGGAACAGATTGAAAATGTTTTTCAGACAGACGAGAGGAATATTTATGCGAGTTGGGGGAAAACAGGTGCCAGCCTCTATATTTACGTCTGAGAGGATTTAAAACATGACAGTTCGTTCCAACAACTTGTTTTGCGTTTGACTCCAACCTTGGACCAGCTTACACTTGCTCATTCAAAGACAGAAAATCAGAAAATGCATAATTACTCTGTAACAGACCTTAACATGATTTCTACTTTGCATGAGGATTAAAAATCACTAATACTGTTTCACAGTTGATTAAAAATGATTAGTTCACTTCAACATTTAAAAATGGTTTGAACTAAGCACACTTTGATTATCAAACATTTGTAAAATAGTAATGATAATAGAAAGTAGTGTTCTTTCACTTGATCAATTCAAGAAAGAAAGTCTCAGGATGGGTCAACCTGTATTTCTGGATTCAAATCAATGAAATGACAGTTTCTGTCCCTCGGAGCATGTGGAGGGGCATTAAGTGCATAACAGATTATAAAGGAAGGAGTGAACAATGCCCCAAAGACCCATCTCTGCCTGATGCCCTCAACAAGTTCTATGCACGCTTTGAAGACCCGAACAGACCACCCAGCACCAGACTCACCTCGCCACCGGATGAAGAGCATCTCAGCGTGACCTCAGCAGAAGTAAGGAGTACCTTCAGGAGGATTAATCCGCACAAAGCAACTGGCCCAGACAACATCCCCGGAAAAGTGTTGAAGGAATGTGCTGATCAGCTCTGTGAGGTGCTGGCAGACATCTTTAACACCTCACTTACCCTGGAGACAGTTCCCACCTGCCTGAAGACTGCCACCATCATCCTAGTCCCAAAAAGCTCTACAGTGACTGGTCTGAATGACTATCGGCCAGTGGCCCTCACCCCGATAGTCGCTAAATGCTTCGAAAAACTGGTCATGACTCACATCAAAACAACCATCAACATCAACGAGGACCCTCATCAGTACGCATACCGTGAGAACCGATCAACAGAGGATGCAATCTCCTCTGTGGTCCACACTGCACTCAACCACCTGGAGCAGAAAAACTCTTACGTCCGTATGCTCTTTGTGGACTTCACATCCGCCTTCAACACCATGATCCCCCAAACCCTGATGGACAAACTATCCACACTAGGACTAAGCCCCTCCATCTGCAACTGGGTACTAGACTTTTTAACAAACAGACCACAGTTAGTGAGGATCCACAACCTCTCCTCCTCCACCATAACCCTCAGCACTGGCTCTCCTCAGGGATGTGTGTTGAGCCCCCTTCTGTTTACTCTGCTCACATATGATTGTGCAGCTACCCATCCAGGCTGTCACATTGTAAAGTTTGCAGATGATACAGCGGTGGTGGGATGCATCACAAACAATGATGAGTCCAGCTACAGGCAAGAGGTGGAACACCTGGAGAGCTGGTGCAGAAAGAATAACCTTCACATCAATGTGAAGAAGACAAAGGAGATGATTGTGGACTTCAGAAGGAACAAACACACCTATACCCCCCTGATCATAAGAGGATCTGCGGTGGAAGTGGTCTCCAGCTACAAGTACTTGGGTGTACACATGAATGACAACCTCAGCTGGAGCAACAACACCACCAGCCTGATCAAGAAAGCTCATCAGAGACTCTACTTCCTCAGACGGCTGAGGCGAGCTGGTCTGGGAAGCTCAGTCCTCACCTCCTTCTACAGGTGTGCAGTGGAGAGCATCCTGTGCTCCAGCATCAACGTGTGGCATGGAGGCTGCACAGCTGCAGAAAGAAAAGCTTTGCAGAGAGTGGTGAAGGCTGCACAGAAATCTGTTGGAATCAGTCTTCCCACCATCACAGACATCTACACCTCCAGATGCAGGAAGAGGGCCACCTGCATCATGAAGGACCCCACCCACCCAGCACACACACTTTTTGCCCCACTCCCTTCAGGAAGGAGGTTAAGGAGCATTAAGTGTAGAACCACTAGACTGAGG